ACATGTATACCATTCTGTTTGAGCAGCAACAATACAGAAGCTTTATGATTATACATACTTTTGTAATAAATGGATGGAAGATTTGACATTTCAAACACATTCGCATATTGTGCCCAATACAAAATGTACTTAGTAATGCGAAGAATAATTCTTTGTATATCCACTTATCATAAAAACACATAGCCCCAACTAATATGTAGTTTAATCAAGCATTTTTATGTACATTTCTTTCTCGAATTTGTATTTGTACAAGTACAAATGAAACAAGTTGTAGAGTATTCCCACCTGTTTAATTAAAACTATGTAGAGCAGATAGTTTAATCTGGTGGTTGCTGACAATGAATGTGCTGACAATGAGCTTGCTGACAATGAATGTGCTGACAATGTATGTGTCATTTGTGTAGGGTGTGCTGTGGAATGTTTCTTAGACTTATTAGATTTGTACTTGTATGCAAACAAGAATTCAAGGAAGAAATACATGTACATGTAGTTCAATATACACATATTTCATTCCCCCTCTCTCTATTTGACCCAAGTTGATCTGTTATTGTACCATTTCATCACCCAGTATCTATGATTCACATATAACAACAGATCCAAAGCATCTCAATTCTCAAGTCAGGTAGTAAATTAGTTATGGCCAATAGTTGGCTATGCCCCTGCAATTAGGCCACAGAAAAGGAGAGATATACACTAGAAGACAGGAGCACTGTAGCATTAATAATACGTACCAGAAATTAGTTCAAAATGACAGCAAGTTGACTGACTAATAAAAGTTGATTCCATCTAAAAATTGAGTTTAGCCAAGCCCGTAATTTCCATGACTACTCAACAAGATTTGCATAATTGGAGAGTTTGAGATGCCTGAAAGAGCTCATGTTGCGAGTATATGCTATAACTTTAGTAAAAGCAAGAGTATGTCTCTCCTGTTAGTGGTTGTTCTCTTATTTTTCAGTAGCTCCTGCAGTGTCTCCTCTGGTCAGTATTATGTGTCTGATAACTGCAGTTCAGTTACTAATACACCTTGTAATCCTTTATCAGTGTATGCTGGGAATATGTCTCAATACAATAACAGCATCTTCTACTTCATTGGAGCCAGTGACATTAATGATGATGTCAACATGACTGCAGTAAGGAATGTTACTCTACATGGACTGGATCAGGCTTGTCTTATTAGTAGCAGGAGTAATGAAAGGTCTGTTCTCATTCATAACAGCAGTCATGTCATTATTTCTAATATGTTCATTAATAATTTTCATGTCATTGCTCAATCATCCAACAATATTACAATAACTAACTCTTCATTCAATGGAAGAGAAGAGCCTGTCGATACAATATTCATGAAATTAAACAATGCTTTTGATATTAAAATATCATCCTCAGTTTTTTTTCATTATGCTATTAATATTACGTACAAGCCTCTTCCAATATGTAGCATTGAACTACTTCATTACTCATTAATACTGACTAATGTCACATTGAAGTACAGTGGGGTTGTATTATCTGCTTATCATGGTGCTTCATACAATCTGTCAGCCATCTTTCATAACTACAACAATATACTTTATAGTCATTCTTTATTTATTTTGGGTGACAGTCTTTTTTCTTTTTGTATTAAGAATGCATCATTTCAATCAGCACTTGTGAATCCCTATGCCTTTCATATTAATTTTGCTGAAAAGTTGAAATCAGTTGAGTGCAAATTTCCTGGTATCCAATCAATTTCTACTTTTGTAATTGAGGACAGTCAATTTCATGATAATCAGGGTGGACTTTTAATATTTAAAAATGAATACTTACCGGGAACACTTAGCAATCACTTTATTATTATCATTAAGTCTTGTTCAATATCTAACAACATGATAAGTTCAGGCTTAAAAATTGATACAAAATTTTTGACACCAGTCCAAATCAAAATAACAGATACTAAACTGATTGGAAATCAAGAAAATGTGATATTAAACAGTAATGCTATTAGTCTCAGTAATGTTACTGTAGCTAACACTCGCTCAACAGGATTGTTACTTAGAATATCATTAGTAACAATTGAAAATAAATTAACATTTAAAAACAATACCGGAGTATTTGGAGGAGGATTATCAATAAATGACTTATCAAAATTGGTATTAACATCATCAGCTAACTTGGAATTTATTGATAATCATGCTTCTTACAAAGGTGGAGGTATCTATGTTAAAGAGTTAGGTAGTGACATAATATTAGAGGCATCAAATGTACCTCTTACATTAAAAAATAATAGTGCTGCATTTGGTGATGATATATATGGATATACTGATCGCAGAAGCAATCGTTTCAACTTGACAAATCCAAGCATTAGTTCAACAGGTGATGCACGAAAAGTGCATTTTTGCAATAAAAATCTAGGTTATAAACAGATTTATCCAGGTCAAGTACTGAAGTTTCATATAGCTTTGTTTGGTTATGATTACTTTGGATCACTAAATTTCACTGATGGTATATTGGAAATACGTGATGGAATCTTTCCAAACAGTGCTCAAACAGTCGATCTTGTGTATGCTAGACCTAATCCCGATTCTAATTGTTCATCACTGATTGAATACAAACCAAACCATCCTCCTAGTCATGCAGAGTATGTCATTGTATTCACTACTAACCATTCCTCTCTCAACTATCAGCATTATATTGTTAATGCATGCCCCATTGGTTTTAGTATCAATAGCTCACAAGGTAGATTTATTTGTGCTTGCAGTCAAAGTATTTCAAGAGAGAATGTGACGTGTGATATAACTAGTCTAAACATCACTCACAATGGCCTATTGTGGATAGGAATGTATAATATCAGTACATCTTTCAATGCTACTGCAAACAATATTGATGCTTGCATTATCAATGAGGACTGTCTCCTCTATTGTTTTCCTAATCCTGTTACCTTTAAGTTGAATGACACTGATACTCAATGTGTGGATAATAGAGGACAGAGAATGTGTGGATCATGTAGAGAGGGATACAGTCTACTAATGGGATCAAACAAGTGTGGACAATGTCATAATAATTACATGATGATAGCTTGGATCGCTCTGTTTGCAGTGATGGGTGTACTACTTGTGGTTCTACTGATTGCTCTCAATTTAACAGTATCAGTGGGTACACTGAATGGTCTATTGTTCTATGCTAACATTGTCAAGTTATATGAGCCAGTCTTTTCAAGGAAAGGAGCATTACCAGTCTTGAGTCAAGTAATATCATGGATTAACTTGGACTTTGGATTTGAAATATGTTTGTACAATGGTATGGACAGTTATGTTAAACAATGGCTCCAGTTTGCTTTCCCTCTCTACCTGTGGATTATTATCATAATCATCATACAATTGTGCAGGAGATATGGTAAGATATCAAGACTGATGGGGTCTCATGCTGTTCCTGTTTTATCTACACTCTTCCTTCTTTCATATACTAAACTAGTACGTACTATTGTTATTGTACTACACAAGCGTGAGGTAACTCTTCACTGTACAAATGAACCAGTGAGATCAGTTAGTTTATGGTATGAGGATCCTAATGTTGAATATGCTAAAGGGAAGCATGCTGTACTATTTGCATTTGCTTTAATGGTAGCTGTCTTTTTTATCATACCATACACACTGTTCCTTTTACTTAATTCTTTTTATGAGAGGCATTTTTCAAATTTCAAAGTTTTAAAGAAAGTTTGGAATCGTTTCAAGCCCATTATTGATGCTTATAGTGGTCCAATGAAAGATGAGTATCGGTTCTGGCCTGGTCTACTGCTAGTGGCTAGGATACCAGTATTATTATCAGCTACTTTAGTTGATAGTTTTATTCAGTCACAGCACTTTCTATTGTCAATGCTATTGACAGTGTTAGCTATTGTGCTATCATTGGGTTATTGTTTTGGTGGAGTTTACATGAAAAGAATGAACAATATTATTGAAGTTTGGTTCTTATTAAACTTGTGCATCATGGCTTCTTTATCTGTAGCCTTTACTGATGACAGCAAAGTATTGATTTGGTACAATACTTGTTTATCTGTTTTTATTTTTAGTTTTATTTTTATTGTTGCTTATCATTTTCACCTGCAGTTATCACATATGGAATGTTATGATGCTCTAATTAAGAAGTTATTCAAGAAACAAAATGAAGATGATGATCCTCTTTTAGATGTTACTGACTCACATCTAACTGTTGATCAACAAAGAAGAGAAATAATACCAAGTTCTACTGATTATATTAGACGGGAATCAGTTGTTGATTTGTTTTAATCTTTAGTAATTTTTTGCTGCCCACATTTAACTAGTTATGCTATCATTCTTTCTTTTTGCTATTTTCTGTCTTAGAATCCATCATTTCTCACTATTATTAACATAGAAGTTTCAGTGTGTTAAAAAATTTTTTCTAATTATTCATTACATTTCACTCTCTACAACAAAATGAAATTATATCTAGATCTAATTACGCAAGATTCAGATCTAGGCTATAAATCTACATGTATTTATAACTTCATAATACTGAACTGGTAAATCAGAAACATACCTATACCTACCTACTAAAGTGAGTAACTAGCTGTCTCACTCCCACTCGTTAGCATCCTTTTTGACTGATTAGATAATTTGTTTCCTTCAGTTCCGAGAGATGGAAGCTAAGCTGTATTGCTCTTCATCATAAATTACCTTACAATGTTGCAATATTTGATTATATTTTTGGAGTTCATTCCACTAATTGGTTAGTATCAAGCAATGATAATTTCTCTCTATTCTAGATCAGAAATTACTCAATTTCTTTTAGTTGCTCCTGGTCATGCTAATACCGACATTCAGTTTTGAAGCAGCAATGCTGTCTGTCTCTGAGGGTAAGGATCTTTGCAATTTTGAAACAAAAATGGTTCGGCATCGACCCACCAAGATGCAAATTTACAAAATGTAGCATACTACTGTTAGTTTTATTAACTGAATTATATAAACAAATCATCCAGATAACAAAATCAAGTAACCGTTCTGTTATATGCTAACATACAAATCTAGAATGTTCTGGTTCTGATTCTGGAACATTACAGAATGAATAAATACAACTATCAAACAATCTAGAAAAGTCAGGATTAAATGACAAACTGAAATAAACAGCCTACGGTTTACACAATAAAAACCACTAATAATTTCATAGTCAAAAGTGTAGCCTCTAACAACTAGTCAAAAAAGGGGATGGGTCTGGCTACACGAGACTATCTAACAACTACAGAGATATCATTAGTGACCATGGAACATAGGCATTATTTACCCCTATTGTCTTGGTTTCAGTAATATAGGAAGAGATTACCTTCAAGCATTTGGTGCTGTCTATACAGAAGGAAAGGTTGTATCTTTTGCCTCGATTAATCAGCCATTATTAATGCATTGTTAATGGAGGTCCCAAGACCCAATTCAAAAATCACTACATTTTTTGCAAGGCTATCATGGCTAATTGCAAATCTGATTAACTATTATGAACAAACTACAACTGATACAGGCATATTAAATTATTATCCATACTTTTTTGCTACAAATAAGAGATATACTATTGATCTAGTGATATCAAACTGTTTGAACCAGAGATGTATACAGCTAAATTAAAAGACCAGTCAGTCATCATCAATTTTACTAAATTTTACAGAATGGCTGTACATAGATTTAAGGTTGAGCAACAGATGGCCCCAAAGTTGATTAATGAGCATTGAGCAATGGTTGGTGATGGAATACATTACTGGAGCTAAAGTAGCTCCAGAGAGTTACGACAACTGCAAAGAATTCCTTAAGAATACTTTCCTGCCTAAACTACAAAAGAAGAATTTTGTGCATGATGATTTACGGTGTCCTATTATATTGGAGCAGAATCATTGGATTATGATTGGGCTGGTGTTGCAGAAGTTTGATTACTATTGGCATTGGACTTAAACCTTACTTTAAAGTGGCCAGAAGGTGTTTATGCAAATGGATCTATAACTTTGGAGATTGATAATGCTATAGTAGAAGCCTTTGAAAAGTTACTGTAGTTACTTAGTTGCACTATTGATTATTTACATTCACAAGGCTTTGCAATCACCCGCCCACGCTACGTAAGTGGGTGTGGGTACGGCAAACAAAATGGCGGCTTACACACAGGAGAAAGTTGTGCTTTCTAACAGCGAAAGAACATAGAGATACTGTCTAAAGTCTCTTCTGGAAGAATTAGAAGGTAGAGAGAAGTTTCATAAGTTTTAATAGGAATCCAGTTGTACATGCAAGGTGGTGAAAACAATTATAGGAATAGTGTTACGCTATCATAGTAGCCTATGGTTTTTTCCAAAAAATGGCTCCAAAATAACCCCCAATTTTATTACATTTTCTGATATATATTGATGTCCTTATGCTGTGTAGAAAGTTTGAGCTGATTCTGACTTCAATTTTTTGAGTTACGGCCATTTAAAAAAAGTTTCAAAATTCTAAAAAGTACCCAAGGCTATTAGTAACGTGGTAGCGTTACTAAGTAGGATTCACCCCCAAACAAAATGGCTGCCACGACTTTTGCAGCCTTGCTGTACCAGGAAAACGAGCTCCTATGCTTACCAGACTTCTTAGAGGACCTCATTTTGACCAGAGGACTCCATTGGTACCACTAGCGTGGCTCTAGACCTTGTCTAAGAGAAAATCCAAAAATCGGCAAACCGGCCGTTTTGTTCAGCCACCTTTTTTCATCTTCATCATCATCATCAAGTCAGAAGTCCTGTCAATCCAGTTGTCGGTGTGTATCTCAGTATTGGTTGGTGCTAAAAGGATAATTCTTACACCAATCTACTCCAACAGTCTATGCGCAGGTCCATGTCCCATCAGATCATTCTTCAAGTGAGGAAAAAGTGATACTGTGACTGCTGGATCGAGCCATCTTAGCTGCATGCCGCCATTTTGTTAATTAATGAAGCTTGCCATGTGCTCCAAAATTTGGGTGTGGTCGCGCATGCTCAGATCTGCAGCTCTCGAAGAATCTATGTTTTTCAACTTACTGCAATACTTTAGTGGAGGTTTCCAGCTAAAAGAAGGTATTGATTTTACATGTTACTGTTTTATCAAGTGTGTTATTTCATTTTATTAAAAAAACAAACAATTAATTAATGTTATGACTTATGATATGCAATGATAATTATGAACTTGACAACAGCCTGGAAGAACAGGAATAGCAGGGAAGATGGACACTCTTAGCTCACAGATTCTTGAACAAGGACTTGTGTCAAGACTAATTCCTTCAGCATGTCTATTTGATGCTGTCTCTCATAAATGTTATAACAATGATAATAATAAAGAAAATTATTGTTTGTGTAAAATCAACAAGTATCACAATTGCAACTAAAGAAATACTATAAATATTATTTTAAAAATCAACACAAACAAGAACATAAAAAATTTATAAAAAAAGATGAAGTAGGATTCTGAACGACCAACGAAAATACGAAATAGTATAAAAAAATCAACACAAACAAGAACATAAAAAATTTAAAAAAACAAGATGAAGTAGGATTCCAAACGACCAACGAAAATACAAAATGAAAATCCTACTCGTGACA